ATAAAACCTAGATCATATGCTCGAGCAGTAGCAAATAATAATGGGGAGGAACCAACTGAAACAGATATGAATCATGTGGAAAGGCAGGTAACAACTTTCTTTCACTCACAGGGTATTGAAATCAGAACAACATTGAAGCATGTCATGTTTTATCAAGTAGGAATACGAAGGGTAAAGTGTCTGTGTTAATGAGATTTGTGAGCAGAAAGATGAAAAATTCACTCCTTAAGCAGGCAAAAAAGTTGAAAGGAACTGAGGTCTATGTAAATGAGCATCGGACAAAGTATAATGCAGAAATTGCAGAGAAAGCCCGTTTTCTGAGGAAGCAGAAAAAGATCCAGGGTACCTGGACTGCAAATTGTAAAATTTTTGTTAAATTGAATGGGACTCCAGAAGAAGCAAAGATACTGGTGATTAAAAGTTTAGAAGATTTGGATCAATATCAGTGAAAGAGATGATGGGATAGAGGAATGGAATGTGTAGATTCAGAGGTGTGTGTGTGTGTGTGTGTGTGTGTGTGTGTGTGTGTGTGTGTGTGTGTGTGTGTGTGGAGTTGGGGACAGCTTACATCAACAGGACCAGGAGTATACTTGAGCAATCAGATATTACGTAAGTTAAAATATGAGGAAAATGAAATTTCATTTAGAAATTGATCTTTCAATGATATTTGGGTTTTGAAACATGATTAGTGTGAGGGAGATTAGAAATTTACGATTAACAGGATGACAAATGAACTACATATTGACACAAATATAGGCTGTAAAGAAAGGTTTGGGGATTTTGACAGCAATATTGATGAAATACATGAATGTAATTATTACAATGAAGAACAATTCAATATGAAGATGAAGTCAGAAAATAGTTTGACAATGGCTCATTTCAATAGCAGACGCTTATATGCAAATTTTGACGCCATCAAGGAATATATAGCATAATTCAAGAAACCATTTACTGTCATTGCCATATCAGAGACATGGATAACACATAAAAAGGAAGGAAATTTTTAATTGCATGGATATGACTTTATCCACCAAGACAGAATAAGAAAAAAAGGAGGAGGGGTGGCACTTTATATTGACAAAAATCTTAATTACAAAAAAGTAGAAATGATGACGACTACTATTGAGGGAGTGATGGAATGTGTAACAGTTGAAATAAGCATGAAAAAAAAAGAACATATTAGTAAGCTGTATATATAGAACACCAGGCTCTAAGATTGAGACATTTAAGAATAAAATGGAGGAGATGTTTACAAATTTGTACCAGAAGGGAGTGTTTATTTGTGGAGATTTCAATATAGACTTGCTAAATCCAAATAAAAACAAAAGTACAGAAGGATTTATTGATATAATGTATAGTCTAGGTTTATTTCCATTGATAACCAGACCGACTAGAATAACATTACACTGCACTACTTTAATAGATAATATATTCACTAATATAACGGAAGAAAAGGTGGAAAGTGGGTTATTAATAAGCGATATGAGTGACCATCTACCGGTTTTTGCTTCTTATGACTGTCATTGTAAAAATGAAACAGAAGAAACTAACTATATGTATAAAAGAATGAAAACAGAACAGAGGTTAAATAGTCTTAAAAATGATCTATTAGAACAAGATTGGAATATTGTTTATGAAAAAAAGAAGTAAACCAAGCATATGATACCTTTTTAAATATATTTAAAAGTCAATTTAACAGAAACTGTCCAGTAATCAAAAATATTCAGAGGAATAAGTATAAAGAAAAACCGTGGATGACAAAAGGACTACAAAATGCATGCAATAAGAAAAACGCACTTTACAGAGAATTAAAAAAAAAACAGAACGACAGAAGCAGAACAAAAGTACAAAAGATATAAAAACAAACTCATAAATTTAGTGAGAAGCTGTAAACGTGAATATTTTATTAAAAAGTTAGAGCACAATAGAAACAACATAAGGCATCTGGAAAGTATTAAATGGTGTAATTAGGAAAGAGACGGGGAATAATAACTATCCACAACATTTTATAGAGAGAAAAAATAATATTACAAACATGAATGAAGAAGTGCATGAATTCAACAAATATTTTGTAAGCATAGGATCTAAATTGGAGGAAAAAATAATAGTTGATGAGATACAAACGGATGCCACAGAGTATGTTGAAAGAAATAAAAATTCTGTTTTTTTAAGAGCGGTTGATGAGAAGGAGATTTATGATCTAGTTAGAAATATGAAGAATAAGACCAGTACAGACTGGAACGATATTGACATGAAAACACTGAAATGTGTGATTGAGGGCATTGTAAAACCATTAACACACATTTGTAATCTTTCTTTTCAAAAGGGGTTTTTTCCGAATAACATGAAAGTAGCAAGGGTAATTCCTATTTACAAGACATCAATTTACAAATTATAGACCTGTGTCAATACTATCACAATTTTCCAAAATATTAGAAAAGCTTTTTGTTAAAAGATTCAATAATTTCGTTGATCAATATGAGTTGCTGACGGAATGCTAATATGGCTTCAGGAATAATAGGTCAACAGTCCAGGCACTGATTGATCTTAATGAGGAAATAACAGAATGCATTGACAAAAAGAAGCATGCAATAGGGTTGTTTTTAGATCTGAAGAAAGCTTTCGATACAGTAAACCATGACATATTGATGAGAAAAATGGAAAAATGTGGTTTCAGGGGTATAGTATTGGACTGGATAAAAAGTTATTTATCAAATAGACAACAATATGTGCAAATAAATCAACATAAATTAGGACTAAGAGAGATACAATGTGGGGTTCCTCAAGGATCAGTCTTAGGACCTAAACTATTCATAATGTACATAAATGACATTTGTAGGGTTTCACAAGTATTGAAGTTTGTATTGTTTGCAGATGACACAAATGTTTTTTGCTCGGGTATGGAATTGCAACAGGTCCTGGATGTGGTCACACAGGAAATAATTTAAAAAATGGTTTGATGTAAATAAACTGCCACTAAATTTGGAGAAAACAAAATTTATGTTGTTTGGTAATGAAAGCAGATACAATGAATTAGATATAGTAATTAATAATGTAAAAATTGAGAGAGTATATGAAATAAAATTTCTTGGGGTGGTCATAGACAGCAGAATCTGTTGGAAGCCACACATCAAATATGTTGGGGGAAGCTTGCACGGGGCATTGCTATATTGGGGAAAGCTAAGTATATTTTTAATCAGAAAGCACTTTATATATTATACAATATGATGCTACTGCCATATTTGAGCTATTGTGTAGAGGTCTGGGGAAATACGTACAAAAGTAATTTACAAACAATAACGACAATGCAGAAAAGGGCTATTGGATTAATAACAAATGCAGGATATTTGGATCACACAAATGAACTTTTTATTAAAAAGCGGACAATGAAGTTCCAGGACTTGGTTAAATACAAAACAGCACAAATAATGTATAAAGTAAGAAATAAATTAATGCCTGCTAATATACAGAAACTGTTCACAGAGAGAGAAGGAGGATATAACCTGAGAGGGACACTAAACTTAAAGGTCCATAAGTTTAGAACAACAGATGTGTATCACAATAATAGGGGTTAAATTATGGAACAATTTAGAAGAAGAAATCAAAGTAAGTACAAATATAAATGTGTTTAAAATGAATTATAAAAAACATATTCTGAACAAGTATATAGTGGAAAATAGATGATTTATGTAATTGTCCTTTATTCTAAGGAAAAGTAAATATGAGCATCAATTGTAAAAAGATGTGGGGTATTTTTTCTTTTTTTGTTTATTTCCATATGGTTTGATGGTTTTTGGTGACTTGTACCATTTTGTTTGTTTTATTGTAGGTTTTGTGTTACATTTAGTAAACAAGTAAAAATTACTTTTATAAAGGGGTAGGGAAATATAAGTTTCGACTTCAGCCTACTCCATTTCAGACAGAGAAGAAGAAAAAAAGGGATGATGATATGTATTTTTTCTGTTTGTGTTTTAAAAAAAAATGATGTATGTTTTCTTTGTTTGAAATAAACTAAACTAAAAAAAACCTGACAGAACTACATCTTTGTTAGGTTTGTACTGTGGCAGAGCAGAAGCTAATCGTTAGCATTAGCGACTCAACCACGTGACAGGCTTCAGTTATTGGTGGGGATAAAACATCAATGTCGCAGAGCAATGGGAGTCAGTGGTAGAATTGTGTTGCTGTTAGCCAATCCGAGGCAAGGTGTCCAAATATTAGGAAGTAAGACTTCAGAGCTTGCTGCAGCAGATTTGTCTGCTAATAAATGCTCTAAAACATTGTCAACAGACATTTCTTTTTATTTATCTGTTTTATATTTTATACATTATTAATTTGTTTGATTAACTTTGGTTAAAATGTTTGATTTAATACTGTTCAGAGCACAAAATTAAGATTCAACATTTGGTTAAATTCAGTGTTCAAATACTGATTCAAGTTCAGAAATGCTGTGCATCCACCGTTTAGTGAGATTTTAGCTTGCAAATTGGGTGGAAAACGGCTAGATATCAGCCATAAAAATCAGCCCAAAAATATAGCAGTACGTCTTAGTCATGGGCTGACCCTACGTATCGGCTTCGGTATCGCCATTCCAAACCATGAAGTTAAATTGGAAAAAAAGAGAAGCTCAGCTCTAAGCACGCTGGATGCTATAAAAGTCTTGTCAAGCTGCAGCCTAGATGCAGGATTGACTCTTAATAGAAACAGGAAGCCAATGTAAAGATTAGCCTTAACTTTCACAGTGTTTGAAAACATAGCTTACTTTACAAGGTGATAGTTAAATGCTTTCATTTACACCCCCTTCTCATCCAGAAAAGTGACTTTCTGATGAAATAAAATAATAAAAACTCTAAAATAAAGATTTGTATGAAGCATTTATTTCCACACAGTATCTTTTCCCTTCATTACAATAATCTTAGAGTGTTTTAATTTTTTGTCCATCCTTTGTGCATCTCAGCTCATCTGCCGCATGGCATCTGGTTATTATTATTTTTGTTTTCTAG